AGTCTGTCTCTCATCTCCTTTCCTCTGATGTCCAGTCACTTCCAAATTCCCGCTAGCTGCCAGTCCCAGTCTCCCTCCCCTGGCTTCTCATCCAATCTCAGTGTCCCCCAACATCCAGCTCCTCTTCCCATTCTCTTTTCCCAGCCAGTCCTAGCTATTTCCTCACACCGTCTTCATCTTATGTCTCCCCCGCCGACAACTTCTCTGCCCCCCATTGATTCCCAGTCCCAGTTAGCTCCAGTCTCCCCCCATAATCCCTCAGACAAACTCAGTCCCCTGACCTGCTGGTTCCCAGTCCTCCCACCCCTGTTTTCTCCTGGGTCTCAGTCCTAGTTTCTTTGCTCAGCAAGTCTTAATCTTCCCCCCAACCGCCAGACCCTTCTCTCCCGCCACCAGCCTCCAAATGCAGTCTTCCCCCTTCCAGGCTCCTTGTCCCAGTCTACTACCCCTGCATCCTTCCTGATCTGGGTCTTTTCCTTTCTTCATTCAGTTCAGGCAACTTCCCATCTGCCTGGGCCCAGCAGGAGGAGCATTGAGAGCACAGAAGAGATGGACTTGCTGCTGTTTGTTCCAAGCCCAGACCCAGATCCAGCACAGCCCAGAGCAACCAGGAGCAGAAATTGCAGGGAAAGTCCCCCCCATCCCCAGACTGGAGCATGCTCAGTGCAGACAGGAACTTGGGGGAGTTAAGCTGTGGTCTAGCAAGTCACTCCTGAGCATATGCAAACTGATCTTTTCAAAGGCTTAGGACTAGGGCGGACTTTCACAAAGGCAGCAAAAGGCACACTACTGACACAAAGATCGCCTCACACCAGATTTAAAGTCCATGTTCCAAAGCATGAGTGCACTAAAGCTTCTGTAAGAATACTTGCCAGATTTTTTTTAATGGGTAAAACGATGTATTTTTCCTTAGCTTTATTCCCAGAAACAACTAAACCATTTTGACTGAAACTTTACAAACAAAAAATTCATCCGGAAGCAGATACCTGGTCTGAAAAATTTCAGCCCAAATGGTTAAAGTTTGGTAAAGTTATATGCAGCTGAAAACAGGGACTTATAATAATGAGAAGTGTTGGGCAACCTTAATAATAGGCAATTCTGTCTGCCATGACTATAATAACCATTGTTTTGAGTGAGGAGCTTAGATGTTTCTGCTATGAAAAATGTGTTTTGTACAGTAACACTCTTCAAAAACCATAGATTAACTGTTCAGTGGCCTACCAGTTGTTCTCTGTCCATTTTCTAGTGGACCAGGATCCACATCACACACACTTATGTCCTTTGCATAATGAAAAGTTTCAGAGTAGCAGCCGTGTTAGTCTGTATCCGCAAAAAGAAGAACAGGAGGACTTGTGGCACCTTAGAGACTAACAAATTTATTAGAGCATAAGCTTTCGTGGACTACAGCCCACTTCTTCGGATGCATATAGAATGGAACATATATTGAACAATATATGTTCCATTCTATATGCATCCGAAGAAGT